CTTTGGATTACAAGCATGTTTCCGGAACGAATTATGCTCGCAAACCAAGGTTTTACTGTATTTAATAATTCTACCTGAGCTAGAATCATAGTACTGTATTTCATTGCTCATAGAACTTTGAAAGGTAACCAAGAAACTTAGTTGTAAGCATTAATACAATTTGTAGGACTAGCACCAATAAGCACGAACATGAAATCTCCAATACATGCTGGTAATCATTTTTCTTAGTGTGCAGCTTTCAGTTTGTCACAAAGGCTATGTAATGTTCCCTGAATACTCCAGAGTTAGCTCTGTTCTCAAAATAATCCAAATGGAAACTTCCCAATAAGGATATGACACTGAATGCCAGAATGCAGCTCTCAAAAATGAATAAATAGTTCTGAAAACAAGAACATAATGATACTGATAACATGGAAAGCAGGGCAGATGTCAAAGGTAAACGTTTCAAAGAGATTACTAACAATCAGTCTCAATGTAAAGAGCTATTTCAGTGCTGGGTGAAAATGTGCAAAAAGCTTTGTAATAAAATTTAATAAAATTTAAAATTGATGGAATTGCCCATCATCATTCCAATCATAGATAATAGTCATTGGGTTCCCATGACGCTTGTATAATTATATACTATTATGAATAATTACATTACTAGTAAATGTGCTAGTGTGCTACCTTGAAGAAAATAATTTTCTTGCATAGAAAGTAAAGCACATCTAAGTATGGGAAATATATCTCTGTGAAAGCAAAGCACATCTTGGAGGGAGGTTTGCCTGGATTTTGTATAGCAAATGGCTAATAGTACAGTAACACTTTTTACTGCACAAAACATTCTGACCGTGTAATACCATTTTATAGCATCACTCAGCTATCACTAATGAAGGCAGGCTTTATATCACCACAGCGTTGCTGGGTGGTGCTATACATCGTTGTCGCAAAAATGGTCCTTCAGTTCAAATGCTGCTTTATACATTTTTTTCCTAGCTAGGCTCTACTGTTTCTTAGAATATGATCACACCCTGAGATAGCTCAGTGACATGAATACATACAGCAAAGCTTCAGACTAGCTGAGAATACCTAATCAAGCTATGACTGGCTCTTTGAAGTTCCTCCCTCAGCCTTGAAGAGTGTACAAATTGTTCATCTCCTTTAAGTTCAGATCTGATTTTGTCCTGGAGAACATGGTCTTGGGCAAAGTTCAACACTAATTATCCAGGTCACAATATCCACAGAGTTTTTTTCATGTAATTACTTAGTTTATTTTCACTACAAAGGTTGGTTTTTCAGAAATACTTAATTTGTTTTCTGTGTAGATAGTAAAGATAGAAAAAGGGAAAGAGGAGAGATCAAGAATAAGGACTTGGGAGCGACAAGAAACATTGTAGAGGCAAAATCTGAAACCCTCTCCCAGGTATCAAGTAGGCTTGTATTTGTTAAAATTCACAGAATCGAATCAAATCATGGGACCCCAATAGAGCAGGTACGTTCTGATAAATATCTTGGGGTGCAGGTCCAGGCTTCCTTATCTTGGAGTGCACATTTCTCTTATCAGGCAAGTGTGGCCCAACATAGCTCCACAGCTGTCTTAGGATTCTTCTATTCAAAGGGGCACATTTTATTCCTACAGCTTGCAAGGTTTTCATCTCTCAGCTTTTTTATAGTATTCCAATTTGCATTTTTATAAAGTTTAATATCCTGGAAGCAGTCCAGTCTAAATTTATAAGAGCAATACTTGCAGTTCCAAGATGCATCAAGAATGTTTTATGGTTAGAGACAGGTTTGGTTTCTGTGGGTGCCAGAGCCTGGTTCCATTTCCTTAATTTCTACTTGAAACTAGACAACCCATGATCCGTTGTGTCAGTGTTTCAGAGATATTTCCTTACTAGATTCCCCAATGCCTTCAACAATGGCAGAGCTGCTAATGAACTGCCTTCACTGGAAAAATTCTTTAAAATTCAGGGAGATATTCAGAGATGTATCTGCCTTGAAAATAGCCCATGTCATTTATATTGAACTGTATAGCACAAACATCAGGAGCTGACCACAGGAAATGTTTTATGACATTTTGTATTATGTCATAAAATGTTTTACAAATTTGCCAAATTTCAATTCCACAGGAGTCATGGGTCCTGGATTTTGGATGCATTCTGTAAGTTAGCCCATTTGAAGTACCTTTGTTCAAAAATGGTTGGCCTATGACACACCCATGTCATTTATATTGAACTGTATAGCACAAACATCAGGAGCTGACCACAGGAAATGTTTTATGACATTTTGTATTATGTCATAAAATGTTTTACAAATTTGCCAAATTTCAATTCCACAGGAGTCATGGGTCCTGGATTTTGGATGCATTCTGTAAGTTAGCCCATTTGAAGTACCTTTGTTCAAAAATGGTTGGCCTATGACACACTGTTTTGCCTAGTTAAAGGTTACAGACAGATAGACGTGAGAGTTTTCTTAGCATATAGATTGGGGGGTTTTCTCCTGTGGGTCTGGCTCCATTGCTGTCAGAGACCATTTTAAATCAACCTGGCTAACAAAAGCTAATAGCAAACTCTAGTCCTTAGGACTCTCTTTGGAAAATCTCTGTCCATTAGGGTTTGAAAATGCCAGGAGTCATCTTAAATAACATATCTGGGATATTGATTTTCAAACCAGTTTAAGCCTAGTATCCAACCCTACAGTTTATGGATTCCTCTCAGATGGGCAGTATCTCTCTTCAGTTCTAATTCTGAAATTTCATCGGGCTTTCGCCTTGGCCAGGTTGGATGCAGTACCCTCTGCCGTTCTCTGTGAGTAGTATAAAAACATCCGTTTTCAGCAGTGCTTCTGCCCATGTGGAGATGGCTCTGTGGAAACTCTTAGCCATATGCTCCTTTGTTGCTCTGTCCATAGGGAATCAAGGAAGATATATATTGTCCCATTTTAAAGAACAATCCTGATAGAGAGCGCAATGCCCATCTTCACTACTTCTATCTGACCAGGACCCTGACATATCTTTCCAGTTTACCCGATTTTGTGCTACCATTTGTTTTATCTGTCCTACCTACGGTTGACGTTTAGCACAAATTTTGGTGATTGCCACTGTCATCTGTACTATAGTTACTATAATAATGTGTTTTATGTGATTTCATTTTATATTTTTCTTAAGTTTTATTAATAATTACAGGTTTATGCATTTTATTATTGTGTTCTCTGGCCCAAAAGCTGTAATAAAGGTTTGACAATCCAGATTCTGGTGGCATGTAGGATAATAATAAAGTTGCCAGTTGACTGGGACTTGGACTATCCCCCTTGATGGTAGGCCTTCCACATGCGTGCTGTGCCATCCAGTGAAACGGACACATACTGCAGAAAATCAAAAAAGAAAGTGAGTTAGGAGTGGCAGTGGCAGCACTCTATACAAGGCTCCAAGAACTGGATAAAGCATACTGATTGCCCACAATCTTTGCCTCATGAGTTTTCAGATTATATTAGTCTCCCATCCAATTGTAGGCCAAAGAGGAATCAGTGGCCCCAGCCTGGATTCAGATTGTCAGTGCTTCAAGGAGGTGGCCCCAGGCTCTCATACCTGCTTCATTTCTGGGACATGGATGAGACCCTTAATAGAATCTTGATGTCCTGTGTAACTTTGCACCAGTGCTCCAGAGTTTGGGTCATAAATCCTGGAAAAAGAAAAGGGCAGTTACAAACCTATTCAAAGATAGGCTATCCTTTTTTGTTTCCTCTTCCCCCATTACCAAGTGCCTTATCCTGTGGCTACCTGATAGTATCATGGTCTCCTGCAATGATACATCCGTTGATCTGGTCAATGCAAATGCAAGTGATTCCTCTAGGGGCTTTCATGTTCTGCACGCAACATCCACCATCTTCAGTCTGGGTGAACCAAATAAAAAAACACTGTACCCTAACTTCCTCAATATATCTCACTATACAAATATAACTTGTGAAATTCTATCCTGACATTTGATTCTTTAATAATCATGATGCAGAGCTCTTTATATTTGGTCAGAAAATAATTCTGGGTCTGTAAGGGCTAATCTATTTTCCTACTGTCTACCTATCATTATACTTAACATGAAATAGGGAATGAAGTTACTTACCCACAGCTGAATGGTGCCATCTTCAGCACCAGTGACCCATTTGTTTTCTTGTGGGTGCCAGGCCAAGGCTATGACAGTGGTTTTGTGCCTACAAAGTTCAGCCAGGAGCTCCAGATCAGCACAATCAGGACTGAAAGCACAGATGAAAACCCCAGTGCTGGAAGAGAAGGCAAATTCCCTCCTTTCAGGAGCAGGAGGGTGTGGACTGTGAATGGAGGGATAACAGAACCTTGGCAAACTCAGATTATTAGTGATAAAGTCCCTCTAGTAGGGACTTGTACTTCTTATGTTTGCTACTGTCCATATTGCCAAGAGAGATGCTTATCAACCCTCCATTCTTCCATACAATTTAGCATCTTCTGATGAAATTTCCTGTCTGAGAGCATTCTGAGGCTGTTTCATTTGTCAGATGAACACAGAAGGGTTTACCCACCTATTTTGGGAGTAGGCCACATCCAGGATAGGCCCATTATCCCCAGGCAGACTGGAGAAGGCATTTTGCAAGGAACGGTTGTGAAGATTCCAAAGGCACAGCCTTCCATCCCATCCCCCACTGAGCTACAATGAAAGGTGGCAAGGTTGGCACCCGCTTCTCAGTGCTCTGGTCCCTTTAGTCCTCTTTTCCCCCCTTCTCCATACCTTCATACCTTGAAGGCTGTCTCTGCTCCCGCTCTCTCCCTTCTCACCAAATGAAGAGATGGCTGGAAAGAGCCTTAGAGGGCTATGGGTCCCACTTTGCAGAGAACAAAATACTGCTTGGTAAGTATCCTTTATGAAAAGGATATCTAGTTCAAGCCCATTTTAAGGTTAAAAGGTCCATAAAGTGGGAGACCAGCAGGAACAATGAAACTTTACATCTACAGTTAACACTTGGATTCAGTCACCCAATCAGTTTTTCTGATATAGTACACTTAACTGATATAAACTATTAATTTCATTTACCTGTGTAAATTGTATATAAGTTTATATCATCTTATTCTCTTTTCATGGGTCACACATAAGCACCTACCCTATATCATCTTTTCCCAGCCCATTCACTTACCAGATAAGGGACATGACTACCATTCTCACTCTTCACCAGTGCAAGTGCTGTAATCATGCCAGTGTGTCCACACAGCACTATTCTGCATGTGAGATCTAGTTAAGGTAATAGTGGTATGGGAGACAGTGATTGGATGGAAAAGAGAAAGAAGGGATCACTTCACCATGATGAATCTGAAGTGATACCCTTATTACAACAGTTATTAATTTGATTTATATTCTACTTTTCCACCGATAGGCCTTTTTTTAAAATGCAGAAATGTCAGCTTGACAGTGACAACCTGCTGAATTCATTTCCAAGATAAACAGGAGGTAGACACCAATGAAGAGAAGGTGCATATAAAAGAAAGTTGTACTGGCATACATTTCAAAGGCGTTTTTCAGTGGGACTTAGATGAACAACACTGTAGCCTATAGTACTGTATGTTGTGATTCTTTGGGTCACAGCACATTGCCTAAGATTGCCAGGAACTGCTAAAACTCAGTGAAGCCTCTTCATGTACTAACCCAATAAACTGCAGGTAACTGACTAATTAGAGAAGTCTCATCAAGTCCAACTCTGACACCATCATCTAATTTAGCCACTAGATCTGTTTGATCAGTCTAGCTAAAACGGTAAGGTCTTTTGGAGGTCCTGTGTTCTTGGGTTTTTTTTGTTCGTGCCTCCTGGTTTATTCTTCAGCCCTGGTTTGTCTTTTGATTCTGTTCTGCTTTTCATTCAAACTTCTGGTTTGTTTCATGACTCCTTGGCTCACCTCAGACAACTGATAACGACCCAATTTTACAAGGCTTCAGTTTCTTCCACTAAAGAAAAATGCCTTTGAATAGCTATAGATCATTAAATGCTTATTTTGGGATATGTCTGAAATTTCTAACACATTCTGAATCATTTTTACCTGAGATACAGCTATTTGAAGGGTTCCAAGCCATCTCATCTTGGACACAATCTTCTGGTAGTGTTTTGGAGTCTTGATCCAATGCAGACATATTTTGCTATAGCACGGAGAAAAAGATCAAATAGTAAAGAAAACTTTCCTGAATCCTGTTTTGCAATAAATCTTCCACCTGGATATTGCTATTGTGCACCTATGAATTTATTTCAGCCTTCCCCAATCTAGTGAATTACTAGATTTGTTGGACTTAAACTCCTACAATTCCTAGCTAGTAGGCAGCATTTCTATAATAACTAGGAAATGTAGGAATTGAAGTCTAAGATGTATGGAGATTATCAAATTAGGGAAGGCTTGTCAGTGCCATAGATGTTAAAATAAACAGCCTGTGGTCCCTGGGAGAGTGTCCAAGGGACCATTGGATTTTCTAGATTTCTACCTCTGAGGAGAAGAAATCTGAGTTTAAAAAAACTTTTATCTGTTCTATCAGTTTCCAAAGCTGATTATTATGACATTGGAGGGAAGTGAAAGAAGGGATCCTGGAATTGGTAAGATCCCAGGAAAATTAATGAATACACTAGACCTAGAATCTTTCTGGCATCCAACATAGCTATGCATGTCCTGGAGCGTGCATAATTTTACTCAGCCCCATTATTTACAGTGGGGGAATTTTTGTTTTGTTTAAAAATATAAACAAACAAACAAGCCAGGAAAGGAAAATGAAAGCGCCTTTCCTCTATAATGTCTTCACATGACCTCAACAGAAGTTTAGAAATTTTTGAGACTTCAGTGCAGCACTCAGAGAAAGAAGATAAAGATTGCTCTGTTGACTGTAGGACTTCCAATCAGAGACCATGGGAACTGAAGTTCAGTGGAGAACCTAGGACACTAAGAATTCTCAGAAAGGGTACTCTGGGAGCAGTCATTCTAACAGCAGTCAGGATTTAAGGTTTTCCACATGTTATTGAACAACATCTCTCAGCATTCCTCAATGCTGGCCATGTTTGATAGGATTTCTGAGAGTTCAGAAACTTTTGGAGGGCAATAGATAGCTGTATCTGCGGGGGGGGGCAAGGGGGATCAAAGTGATGCAAGCATGTTGTGATGTTGCAACACAAGCCTCAGCTCTTTTGTGGTATATTGCCATATCACTGCTGACACAGACACTGCTGGACACAGTGAAACTACAGGTAGTCCTTGTTTTGTGACCACAATTGGGACCTGCAACTCAGTTGTTAAGGGAAGCCATTGCTAAGTGAAACCATGACCATGCTTATGATCTTACTCCAGTTTTCTTTTGCTTTACAGACCTGCAAAGGTCATAAATAGGGGGATTGGTCGCAAAGTAACTTCTTCATCACCATCATAACTCCGAACGGTTGCTAAATGAGGCAGTTGCTAAATAAGGACTACATGTAGTTCAAGATAGTCTACATCTGTAACTTAAATTGTGCATCAAACGTAACTGACATATATGTCTGGCTATCCCCCTGTTATATACCCAAGGCTGGGTGGAAATTCACCAGTTTTTAATCACTGGGCAAGAATGAAAATGACTGCATCCTACACAAAGACTTCTGGCTTTTTTTTTAGGAGAAATATCTTTTTTTTTTTAATTCAAGGTTGCCAATATTGGAATGGAAGTTGGAATTTTTGCCAGTCAGAGTGGGCCTTGTGTTAAAAATAGGCCACATACTCCTGATTACCATCCCATTGTTCAGAGTCAACTGTTTTTTCCCCTAAAGCTATGTGTCTGGGTAGCTGATGTAGCTTTCCTATGTAGGAAGGCAAAGGTCATTCACGCCTTGAAGATGACCTACAAGGATGTGATTTTGGCCGCCTTTCATCCAATCATGGGAAGAAGACTGGGACAAGAGTTTGCTGTTACCTGGACAATGGGCTCAGCATCTGGGATGAAGGTCTCAAATTCCCAGAGATAAATGTTCCCGTTGGTTGCTGACATCACCAGAATATCCAGTTGTTCAGCAAAGATGACCCTGTCAAGGCCCAGGGTTTGGTTATCAATGCTGCAGTCCTAATTCAATCTTCAAGCTCTGATCTTAAAACCAAAATCCAACCTTTCCCGGTTTTTTCTTGCACATACATTTTCTCCAGCTTAGAAGATGCAGACACTTTTTAATGGTGCTTGGCAAATGTCACCAGACAACTTTAAATAGCAAGCTTTGATCCCAAGCTGTATATACAGCCTTGTATGTGTGCGGGTACTGTATTGTAGTTACTATCCCTTTGACGATCCTATCTGGCATAGGAAAGAGGAAAAGGGCTTCAAGTAGCACTAAGTTATAAAGCAGATGAGAGCCAGTTCGGTGTAGCAGTTAAGGCGTCAGACTAAAAACCAGGAGACGGTGAGTGCTAGTCCCGCCTAGGCATGAAGCCAGCTGAGTGACCTTGGGCCAGTCACTCTCTCTCAGCCCTAGGAAGGAGGCAGTGGCAAACCACTTCTGAAAACCCTTGCCGAGAAAACTGCAGGGACTTGTCCAGGCAGTCTCCGAGAATCAGACATGATTGGGTGGATTAAAAAATAATAATAAAGCAGATGGAGAAGGCCTGCCTCATCTCCAGGGAGAAGGCAGAAACAGCTCAATCTAATTTTTTTACAGTTAGTTTTGCTATGGCCTCCCTGCTACAGTAGCCTGTACCCAGAGAGACCGCATCCTGATAGTTACCTAGTGAAGCCTGTTTTTTCTTCTCCTGCGCCTTTGGCTGTGATCTGTGATCTGCTGTAACAACTTCGGAGCCTACTACAAGTGCTCCATTTTTGTGTGGAATCTGGACAAGGTTCTGATTCTTCCTGATGGCCTTTCTCTACTTGATCAGCCAAAGGTCCTCGTCGCTCCAGGTGGGCTTCATCTATGTGGAAGGACTCCCTGCTGAATGAAACAGACACACAACCTGTGTTTACACAATGTACTTAATCAGATCCTTTAAAAAACTAGCAAATGCATTTGTACAACCTGCTAAATTTAGTATTAATGGTGGTTAGATGCTTTATGGCTTAGCATAATGTGTGAACCCAACTATTCATTTAGCTTATAGTTCAACATATTTTCCAAACCCACAGAATAGACTAATTCAGTAACAAGGTTAGCTTTATTGTGTGAACATAGCCACAAGAGAGGAAAGACCACAGACATTGCTGTGGAAGCTAGGAGATGGGTGATAGGTGTAAGGCTGAGTGGCTGTATGACTAGAGCAGGCAGAACATGAGGAGACAGGAAAGAGGATGCATATGACAAGCAGAAATAGCTTGTCTGCAACCATCTACTTTTTATATAATGCAAATGAATGAGACAGACTCATCTAAGTGAGAGATGGAAGTGAGATTCTTTGCAGATCATAGTGCACTGTAGTCTTGTGTCTCTTTCAAGGATAAATGCTCTTGAAGCTAAAAGTATGAGCATCATAATGATCAAATGAAGGTAGAATGTTTAGCAATTTAACCACATAAATCTGAAAATTAGCAAAAACACAGCATTACATAGGCTAAGCATCTCATCACTAAGGACTGTGTTTCCTCTTCTTAGCAGCAGCAGCTTGCAGGACTCAGCATATAACTAATTACATCACTAGTGCTGGGCAATGGAAATCTCTGAACCAATTATATCAGTGCCTGCAGGTATTTCCTGGATGTTGTGATAAACCTTTACCTGTAGATGAAGGGAGATATGTAGCTTCTTTCCCATTTCTGCAACATTCCACTGCTGTCCCCACTGAAGAGCAAAATGGGGTCCTTCTTGGCTAATAAAGATAACAGTGAAAAACCAGAGGCAACTTGGACTTGGTAAACCAGACAGAGTTTACTGCTAAACATATGATGTAAAGATCAGCCCAAACACTCACTCGCTAGCTTGACTCACTTAGGTAAGGTTATTTTGGCTATGAGCTATGGCATCCCACCCACCTGATGAAGCTTAAACTCCCTGATCTATTGCAGGTTGGGGCTGAGCAGATGCAGAGTTACAGTTATGCGTGGCCACTTACCATAGGCAAGGCACTCCAGGGAGTGTTTGCAAGGCAGCAGTGTTAAGCATCCCAACTCACTGTAGCGCCAAACCACCACTTGCTGCGGCTTTGCTATGCCTCAAAGGAGAAGAGAACAACATTTTGTGTGTTCTACCTAAAATAACCTTTTTGGGGATTGCTTAAGGTTATTCGGATTACTCTAAAAGGTCTTACCATCCGCCAGGCCATATAATACCTTGAGAAAGAGAAAGGGCGTGACTGGAAATTTTCTACTTTACTTTAAAAAAAAAAAAGAATGCATCAGTTCAACTCATATTCATGCAGAACAGAAACCTCTATCTGACTGGAAAAATATGGAACATGGGAGTTTGTTGATGTGACAAATTAAACATATGAAACTTGGTATAGTTTTCCTCAACCTGGTGCCCTCCTCTTCTGTTGGGACTACAACTCCTAGAATTAGGAGCAGAACTCCCAGTCAGCTGAAGTGGGTTTATAGGGTGGTCAGTGGAGGAGGGTTTCCACTCATGTTTATCCTCCCAGCCACTTTTTATCCCTGCAACCAAGTGAATGGAGAAATATTCATTCAGCTGGAGAAGAGAAACTAGCCTGGATTTGCACTGCCAAATCTTGAATATCATTCCAAAGCTGAGACTGAATACTAGAATCATGGTTCAACTTAGTAGCCCTGCCTTTTGAGAAAATTCTTCTCCAAGTTAATTTCTGCTAAATTAATTGATTAAGTGAATTGTATTCTGCTTGCTTTTCCTCCATGGACCTTACAGTCCATGTAGTCTTCATACTATCCTCACATTAATTCTATAAGGTAACTATAGGAACTGTTAGGGTGAGAAAGAGGAACAGACTCAAGATCATCAAACATTATTGCTGAATGCCTTGCACTAGATTTCCAGCAGATTTCATACAATACTCTAACCTAACCTTCTGAAACTTGATGCACTCTAGATATGATGAAGCTGTAACTCCCAGAATACCCAGCCAGCTTGTCTCTGCTCACAAGGAATTGTGGGAGATCCATTTCTAGCACATCTGGAAAGTTCCAGATTCAGGTGAACTGGTTTACTCATTACATCAAGTCTTCCTCAACTTAAGTCTCTTTTACAAACATAATTTTATGTTAAGAACATGAAAGGATTGGTCTATAGGATGTGAAGCCAGAATCCACGGTAAGAGGTTTGGGAGCCCAGATGGGATCTTGATTTGCAGATCTGAGGGAAGAGGGTATCAGTGTTTTGCTGGGGTACTCACCTATCACATACCTTGAGTCTGGCAGGCTGAGGAGCTTCTCGAGAACCAACCCATCCTTCTGATTACCCTGGAACGTGGATATGAACTGTGAAACCTGAAAGAAAGGTGGCTATTTAATATGGGTTTTCCTTCCTTTTACTGTTTATCTATGGCAAAAAACTATTTTTATCTGTGAGCAAATGAAAACAATAAATTTGTGGCAATGCTCTGAAAAGCTGTTGTCAAATGAAGTTGCACAGCTATAGAGAACCCCAGAAAGGTAAGTGATACTTCTGATTGCTAACTTTTTTTTTTTAAGTGTTCTTTCAACATGTCTTGGAGCAATTGGAAGATCCTGAAAGACAATGCAAATGGTCCAAGCAGCCCTTGAAACACCTACTCAATAGAAACAGCAAATGAAAAATACACTGTTCAGGAAGCCAACATAATGGAAAGGAACAACAGCTAAGCCACAACTTGGGCAGTTTAATTTAATCTTAATTATACCTGCCACTGACAATTGAAAGAAGATCATAATGTTTCAATATAAAATGGTTCTGTACAGTCTTTATGTCATCTACAGTATATGGTACCATCAATCTGGCAAAATGGTCTCAACTGTCAAGAAGAGGCAAGAAACATGCTTGTTACAAGAAACATCCTTCACAAACAGTGAGATGAAGTTATTAATGTGTGGAATTTTGCCCCCTAAGGATGGGCAACCTTCACAGAAAAATCCTGCTGAACAACTACTAAGAAAAAAGGCTGCCTTGTACTGGATCAGACTATGTGTTCGCTTAGCCCCACGTTGCCAGTTTGGACCAAAAGTCAGGATTCAGGCAGATAAAGGTCTTTAAAACATCTAATACCTGACATCCTTTTCATTGGCATGGCCAGAACTTAATCTGGGAGCCTCTTGCATGCAATATATCATTCAGCAATGGCCTCTGACCTCAGGAAATCCCTTAGTGGCACTTATCAATATGTTTAAGAATGACCTGCAGGATCATCCAGGTCAGAACTACTGCAGCCTGACAAGCCCAAAGTGTTTGTAAGTGGGTTCCAAACTGGCAGACATTTTTTGCCTGCTAGATGTTTGTCTATATCTCATACTACTTCACCCCATAAATTTAACAAAACATTTGGGAATTATTTGCATATCCCCCAGATTTGAGCAACTATTGTTTTATGTTGTAAATATGACTTCTGAAAGCAAACTGGCCAAGATTAGTCTACAAAATCTTTCTGTGTGGGAAGATATTGAGGCAGGCCACTTTCACACACAAGTTCTGGACTTGTTGGAAAACAACTCGAGTAGTGCAGGTCAGTTCCAATAATTCATTTCCTGTTTGGTTGCAGTGCAGGTAGAGTGGCCATTTCTACATTGGAGAGAAATCTTGCCTCATCTCTCCCTCCGACTCCTCAACTTCCTCTAAGGCAGTGTTTCTCAACCTTGCCAACTTTAAGATGTGTGGACTTCAAGTCCCAGAATTCCCCAGCCAGCCATGCTGGTTGGGGAATTCTGGGAGTTGAAATCCACACATCTTAAAATTGCCAAGGTTGAGAAACACTGCTCTAAGGAAATGCAAACTTAAGGGCTTGGCAGCTTTCCGTCAAGGGGCAAGACATAACAAGCAGACTTGAAACTGATAAAGAGTTTTGTCATTTCCTCTTTTCTCTGCGTCAGGGAGGAGCCAGCACTCACAGTGCTGGGTGACAGGGTTCTTGTCTTTCTTGCCTTGTCTTGTCTTGTAGAGAATCAGGGGATTTTTGTTGCTGCAGCTTCTGGTGGGGCAGTAATATTTGCTCTTTGTACTCAGCACTTCATCTATAGCACATGACAGCATCTAGCCAAATGTGACTGTTGTTTTTTTTTAAACTAAGCAGGGCTGGACTTGGTTAAGGTTTGGATGAATGACCTGAAGGACTGAGGACTAGAAAGTAAAGGGGGAAAAATCCCATGGAAGGCAATGACATGTTACCAAGGATTCAAGCTCAACTCAAGGGAAACTTGCCTTTTTTTATCCCAGCACTTCACAGTGGCAGAAGTGAAGACAATCATGGATTGCCTTGACTGTTTCTGAAGATTTGGAGAGTGAAATGGTGTGGGAAGTGCCCGCAGTTTCCCTTCTTTATTCTTTTTTCCTCTATCAATTGTAATATCAAACATTGCCAGTAGAGGGCTCCTTGTAATCACAAATCCATTGAACACAGCCTATAAGTTAGTGCTGATTGGCAGAATTGCATCAAATACCCTTGTGTCACTCACTATTTCTCCAGACTGTGGCTCATAAAGGGTGGGCTGGGAAGCGCCACTAGTAATCCAAATGACGCCAATGGGTGCCACATAGCACAGTCCAGTTATGTTACTGATGAAGGGGCCAAGGCGCTGGATCAGCTTGCCATCCTGGGACCAGATGCCAACAGTCTGGTCAAAAGAGCCCGAAAGCACCCTGCAAATGAATTCAGGTCAGTGATTCGAGGAAGCAGGGAATTACAGTGAATGAAGGGTCAGTGGACTTTCCAAACAACTGGTTTATACCCCACACTTAACAAATGCTGCATTTCCAGTATTGTTAGAACCAGGGGAGAATCTTTTTGTGTCAAAGGTTCTCAGATTATTGTAATACCTTTAAGTTGTTTTTTCCCTGCCAGCAGTTCTATTTATACCCTGAATTGTTCATTTCCTCTTTGTGGTAAACACCTTCCTTCCCCAAACCTCTACCTCTTTCATTTGTTGTAGTCCAACCATTATGACAACACCATTCAGAGGAAAAGGCAACTCCTTCTACCCGCACTTTCCCAGTAACAGGGGCAAAGTTCCCACAAAAAGCATGTGCACATGCAAAAGGATCCAAAAAAGGCCATATGCAAAAGGCAAAGCCCTTCATTTTGCTTGTACCTTGTGGTTTCTTGCTGGCGTACCAGAAGCAAATGGGTGATAGCTGCATTGTGGGCACGTAAGATGCACTGCTTCTTTGTCAGGCCTTTTCTTCCTGGGGTCTGGTAGGTGTCAAAGATCAGCAATTTCTTGTCATACCTGGAAATGGTGGGGAGAAATGATCAACTGAAGATGAACTTGGATTCAGTAGGCTTCATTTAAACTTTTCAGCAATCACCTTGAAGCATACCAGAGCGTTTTATGGGCACAGGCAAAATGTGGCTTCTATTTTCAGAAAAGTGCTGAAACTCACAGCATTGTCCTTCATAGTGATCCAGTAGCCACGAGACTACTTTTTATGAGAGCTGTTCTGGGGCCCTTTTGATAAGTCTCTGATTGTAACGTCAGCAGTGGACACAGAATGTCAAATCACAAAGTACTTACTCTGATCTTCTCCAACATATATTGTCCATGGTTCCCATAACTTCCAGCCAATATGATTGTTGAAGTGCTCACAGGAACTTGGGGGAGTCCTATCTTAAAAATCTGGAGATTACCAGATTGTGGAAGACAGGTGTACCAATGGTAGTAACTATCATTGGTATCACAAAATATTTAGGTTCTGAACCTGGCTAAATGGGAAGACCATTCTATCCCCACTTCCAAACTCACCCAGCAGTGTAAATGTGGTTATCAAGACAGGTGATGCAGGACACAATGTCTTTGTGAGTCCATTCAGAAAAACTTTGGGTTATGTTGACTATGTGCCCAGATTCTCTTTTTTCATCCAAGGGGAAAGCAGTCAGGCGTCCTTTGCTGCCACAAAGAAGGAGATGCCGAGCCAGGCTGATTGCCAAGCTGAAGATGGGGTAGCCCAACTGTAGAGAAAAATGGGCAGGTGTATGTAAAGGACAGAGTTATAGGGCTGAGGAAGGCATCACTGCCACAGCACAATCTAAACACAATTTAGTCTCAGTGGAAGGACTTGGGAATTTTCCGAGACTGACCAGCAAACACTTGAGTTTTACAGGAGAGCTAGAAGATTAGTTCTGTCTTGTTGAAGGAATGGCTCAGAGACAAAAAGAAGTTTTCATAATCTTGATGGCTTCAAAATGCTTGCCAAGGCAGATTTCTAAGATAATTTTAGTGCCCCAAAATCCCCAGGGTGTCATCCTCAAGACTGAGATACCCTTGAATGGCAAGAACCTAAGATAATCATTCTATAACCTTACAACATCCTGTTTGCCATGCAGTGCAACTCCAATCACCTCCAGCAACGTGGCAAACATGCTGTTGAGTATGGTGAATACTAAGTGAGTACATCACTGGTGAGCACAAGGTTGGGGATAGCTCCTTGGCCTCATTTCTGTACAATAGCTTGTAATTTCAGAAAACTTATTATTGTTCTTATTATGACTGGATTCCTAGTCCTAGGGTGTCATGAGGTACCACTCTTACCAGAATACGGTCAAGCACTGTACCACCTGGAGCCCACACCAGCACAGAGCTGTCATTGGAAGCAGAGAAGAGGAGCCGTGCCTGTGTCCAGGAAAGGAAGTGGGTGACCCAGCCAGCATGTTCTTTGGTGCACAAGGACATGTGGCCACTTTCCATGTCCCACCATTTGATCACTCCATCTATCAAAGTAATAAAGATGACATGCCACTTATGCGGACAGGAGTTCACTTCAGGAAGAACCTGGAATTCATTATTTTCCCGTCTTATTCAAGGAGAAATTTCCCAGAAAGAACCATGCAGTTTTGACTGAGTGTATTATGCCAACACTGTTCTTAAACTCAAAGCATGAATTAGTATTTGGACATAGAAATATATGTTGAAAATGCATAAATAGAACAGAAAAGCAATCTCCTGGTACATATAGAAAGTTACATTTTGGTCTCCTCTTTGTTTTATAGAAATTAGAGCTTCTGCTGTACTGATATAATTATCTACCATTCAGACATAATTGGCCACAGCATGACAGATTCAGGAAGCTGGCACAGGAGTGGAGTTAAATGTAAGCATTTAAAGTTAGCGCCCCAGAAAAGTGTTCCTTCCCAGGATGGGCTCACCTTCAAACCCAGTGAGACATTCCCGTCGAGCTGTATGGTAGCCAAGAGCTGTTATGGAACAGCGGTGACGTTCCTTTATTCGCAGGTGCTCCTGCATAGCCATATCTATAGTTGCAACCAAATGAAGGATGGCATGAAGAACAGGGATTAGAATGAGGTCACCCCTCCAGGGAAATACTGAATGTTCAGTCTCATATTTTTCAGACCAACAGCCATGTTCCTTCCAAAGGTAGAGCTGAATATAGCATAGGCAGAGGCAGGGGGCAGAGGAGGAATTTATTTTGGAAGGCCTATGAAGGCTGCATAAGCACAAGGATGAGGTGAGAGCAGTGTGTGTGCGTATGCGCACACGTGTGTGTGTGAAATTTTAAATTTTAACAAATACACGTGACATAATTTAAAACAGCTTTTTAAAAAGTTGTCTAATAGGCTGAATGTTGATGTGTGCTGTAGTGTTTTCCTACTGCGCTGCATTTAACTCACTGCAAAAGTGTGTGTGAATCAATCTGATATAAAGAGAAGGGTGATAAAGCAAAGGAGAAGGCTTCTGGCTGAGCCCTGAATGGCAGGCAACACAACAGATGACAAAAGATGGATGCAACTGTGCAGCGCAGTCCGAGAGAGCTCGGATGGCACCCACTCCCTTAAAAGCACAGTATATGCAATCATTTGTGGAAGGGGGGCCATGTTAGTCTGTAGCAGCCAGCAAAGGGAAAGTGGCATCTCTTAAAACTTCAATCTATCTCAACATGAATTAAGATAATTCATGTCTTGGAAAAAGGAAGTTCTCTTATCCCTCTTCTCCTCCACATCCTCTCAGCCTCGCTTCAACATTATCTCAGCATAACAACTAAATACCCTGAATGGTAATAAATTCCAGAGTTTTCTTTGGAAATATCTAGACATAAAAATTCGACAACGAACAACGTTGCTGGCACAGGTTTTCCAGAAAAGAAAAAAGAAAAGACCAGCAAACATCCAGCACCTTTAACCACTGTGTAGAAATTGAAGGCCAGCAAACTAAGTTTTTCCTCCCGAAAAAAAAAGTTGCATTGTCTACAAACGTCATTCTTCGTGTACGGGATTTACCACACAACTTCCCAGCTTTTCCTAAGGCTGCTTGCAGCGTGTCTCCCGTCCCGGTTCCTTGAGAATGACTCAGCTGCCCTCCTGTAGACTGTTCTTACCCCCCAGCCGCCCCCCCCCCCTCGCCCCCCCACCCAAGACCGGGG